GGAGGGAGGGGAGGGTGGGTGATGGGTATTGAGGAGGGCGCCTTTTGGGATGAGCACTGGGCGTTGTATGGAAACCGATTTGACAATAAATTTCATATTTAAAAAAAGTCACAAAAATAAATAAATAAATAAATAGCACCTTCAGTAAGTAAAAATAAAATGCTAAGCCAGGAGAAGGCAGAGTGCGCCATAGTTTAATTGGCAGAAAATTTTTTTTCCCCCTCTCTCAGTGGTGCGGAAAATAATGGCGGTATCTTAGATTTAATGAAATACAGTGGCTGGGCTTTTCTTCAGGCCAAGCTGAGAATCCTAAGAAGCCAGACCTGACATCTGCGGGGCCCTCCGTCCCAGGGTCGAGAGTAGGTTTCTTTACCTTTACACACGGGCAGTGGCCCGTTCCAGTGGGATGGCTGTCCCAGGAGGCATCGAATGGTCACTTCGCCCATGAGCTCAAAGCCTTCGTAGCACATGAAGGTGAGGGACTCTCCCGGCAGGTAGAGCCTCTTGTACAGGATTTGGTACCCATTTTCAGGCAAGCCAGGGTTATCACATGCCAGCGACTCCTCCGCTGAAATGCAAGCCCAAAGCAGCTCTGATGAGACGATGCAAGTCTGTGGGGACGCCCACTCGCAGCCTGTCTGATCTGGCTTTGGCCGGCCTCTCCGTTACCATCTCCCCGCATTCCCCTCACATCCAACTGGTTCCCATTCCTCAGATCCATCGCCCCACCTCCCACCTCCGGGCACATGTGGCACACGGGCACGGGCCGATGGCCTGGGCTGCGGAATCTGGGTTAAAATCTGGGTTCTACTATGCACGAGCTGTGTGACCGCCAGCAAGGGCCACACTCTCTCTGAGCCTCAGTTTTCCTCATCAGTCAAATGGAAAGAATGGTAGTATCTCTCTCACAGGGATGTGGAAGATTAAATAAGACAATGAGTATGAAGTGTTTACAGCATGTTCTTGGCAGGTCACGGGTGCTCGGTAAATGATGGACGGATGGCAGTGTTGTTACATTATGAAATACTCTTCTGGTGCCTTCCACCCTACCTGCCCACCCCGCCTGGGTAAGTCTTGCCTTTCAATACTCAGTCCCCATTTCTCCTCCTCCAAGAAGCCTTCCCCGGTGCCCTCTACCCCAAATAGAGTCACTGATCTTTCAGTTCTTCCTCCACCCAGCAGTGAACACGCTGAGTGTATTTAATTATTTAGTATCTGTTTCCCTCCCTGGGGAGGAGCTCGTCAAGGCACGCTTGAAGCTCAGGGTCTGCTCTACAGTAGGACTATCCCATGTGAGCCTAAAGTATACAGTAGGAGCGTCATAAATGAGGCCTGGCAGCTTATGACTTCTTGGGGAGAGTTGAACCCATTCCTAGTTTAACCGATCCCAGGCTCTGGACTCCATTTTTCCTGCCCGTGACATAAATGGCCTTGGACAACACCCCACCCTTAGCTGAAACGTGGCTGGGCAATGACATTCCCACTCCGAGGATATACCCACACTTTGAAATAAGATCATCTAAGGCAGGTTTTCTCAACGTAGATGCTACTGACGTTTGGGGCTGGGTAATTCTTTGTGGTAGCCATCCTGGCCTTTTCGGCTGTTGAGCAACGTCCCTGACCTCTACTCATTAGCTACGGGGAGCACCCTTGTTGTAACAACCAAAATTGTCTCCAGGAACTGCCACTGACAAATGTCTCCGGGGGAGGAGCCAACTCATCTCTGGTTGAGAATCACTGATCTAAGCTTTTAAACAATTCTGGTTGCAATCCGTGTGAACTTCCCCTGTTCTTTCTCAGGGATACAGCTGAGTTGGACTGACGGAATTAAACATAATCGCAAACCTACCCTCATTTCTATTTTTCTCTGCATTTCTCCCCTCTCCTTAACCGTAGAATTGTTTTTAGTATTTATTTTTGAGAGAGAGCCAGAGTGCACGTGGGGGAGGGGCGGGCAGACAGACAGAGGGAGACACAGAATCCGAAGCGGGCGCCAGGCTCTGAGCTGTTAGCACAGAGTCCGATGTGGGGCTTGAACTCGTGAACCGCGAGATCATGACCTGAGCTGAAGTCGGACGCTCAACCCGAGCCACCCAGGCGCCCCCCCACCCACAGTTGTTTTTTTTTTTTAAGTTTATTTATTTATTTAGAGAGAAAGAGGGAGGGGAGGAGCAGAGAGAGAGGGAGAGAGAGAATCCCAAGCGGGCTCCACACTGTCAGCGCATAGCCTGACACGGGGCTCGAACTCACAAACCGTGGGGTCGTGACCTGAGCCGAAACCAAGAGTTAGATGCTTGAACAACTGGGCCACCGAGGCGCCCCTCAGATTCCCTAAGTTATTGCTATGGAATGGTTTGTAATATACCAAGCAAGGAAGCACTGAAACCGTGTGGTAATTAGCAACCAATGTTACTTGGGCGCCTGCCGTTCGGCAGACTCATTGCCATGAGCTTCCGTATTATGCTTGGCATGATCATTCTTTCTGATGAGGACGCCAGTTTGTTCAGAGTCACACAGCTGGCAAGTGGCAGGGCTGGGACGCAAACACGGACCCGCGGGGTTTTAAGTCCTGTGCATTTAGTGGTTCTGCTGCAGTGGAGGGCTCTTCTTGTGGGTTATCATGAATTCCTCCGAGCTACTGCCTTCTCAGAGACAGGAATTTCTAAATGAACACGGGCCACCCAGCTGGAGCCGGCATATGGGAGCCAAGGTGAGGCCGCTGGGGATGGTGCAGCAGCGGAAACTTTTGCTACGGCCACAGTGTGGCCACGGGGGGCTCTGCCCCGGGCAGGCAATCTCCCCGCCTTCCATCCGCAGTGTTCCGAGGGCAGGGCTGTGAAGAGCCAGGGCCTCCCGGGGAATCCCTAAATGCCTCCCTGCGGTGCCACCCATACAACCCTGGCCGAATGTGTCGGACCCACTACTTTGGGTGGTGTGGTTCGTGTCTTCCGGACAGGAGCCTCAGAAGCCATGCACCATGTCACCGGCAAAGGAGGGAAGTCGCAACAAAAGCCTCCAGGTGCAATAAAGACCACATTAGTACCGCCAACAACAACGACGACCGTAATAGTAACAAGTGCTGTCATTGGTTGAGCGGGCTGGGCCTGAGGGATGCAAAATCCCACGGGATACGATCCTACCAAGTAAGTCACGTATTCGATTCTACGAACACATAAAGAGATCATTTCAATACACTGCCACCAGTGCCGTGATCGGCGAAACTGTAGGAGCCATGGGAGATCACAGGAAGGGAAACAAGACCTAGCCTAGGCAGTCAAGGAGGCCTTCCTGGAGGCGGTGATGCTGGGGATTTATTATTTCCTCCACAGACCTATCCTTCCTCCTTTCCTTTACAACAGACCTCAGGCTCCACGAGAATGTGGATCATGTCTGTTTATACGTCCCCACACGGTGCACGGAAGCACCCCCGGGGGTGCCACCGTCTGAGATTGTTTAAAAAAATTTTAAAAACAGACCCATGGGAGCTGTTCCAACATTAGATAGAGCTACATTCTTTTTGACGATGCCCCGTCTTTGCAAAGCTGGGTTTTCTGCGGTGACTACGGGGAAAAGCAAAAACTATGATAAAATCAGTATGGAATGGAACGGAAGGGGCAGAGTGCAGCCTGTTGCCAAAATATGAGAAATTTGGTGGAGCCCAAGAGGCACCCACATCCCTGTAGCTGTGACTCTAGTTATTTAAGAATGCAATTAAGATCAAATCTTTTCATATGCGCGTTACTTTTTCAAATGACTACGGAGTTGTGAGTATATAGGCTACTGACGAAGCTGTTTGGACCAGACGACTTAACGAATGGAACCGTGAGGTATTCTGGCCCAGGGTATTTACCCCCAAAAATTCCTGAGATGGCAAAGGGTACTGTGAATTGTGAGGGTTTGGACGTGCCTGTGCCCGCATTTGAATAACCAAATGGACTGCTTCCAACCGCCCCGCCTGGGAGGGAGTATCATACCCTTTTTTTTTTTTTTTT